GTGTCACATGATCCTTCAAAAATCATTCTAATATGCTGATTTGCTTCTCAAGAACATTTCTGATTATTATCAATGTTGAAAACAGTTCATATTTTTTATCAATTTAATGCAAATAAAAATAATTTCTTTCAAAAAAAAAAAATTACTGACCCCAAATGTTTGAAAGGCAGTGCATATTTAAAAATATATTAAAAACAGCACTTTTTGTAAGAAGCTTGTAGTGTAAGTAGCTTGACTGTCATTTAACTAGTGGTTAGTAGCTTCCCCAATACTAGTTACCACTGTTACATAGCCAAGCTTAAGTTGTAGTGCAGGTATTTGATTCTCTGCTGTCCATGTGACTGAGTGCTGCTTTTACCTGTCTTCACCCCACACAGGGTTCACACATGTAATGAGAAGCACTAAAGAAAGCGGGTCTCACCTTTCCTGTTGACTTCACCCCCTTCCACACACAGAAGTAAACCATCACCCACACAGCCATAAGACACAGCATCAGTTCCCAGTTTATGACTCCTGGCTCATCCAGCCCATCAGAGATGTTCAGAACCTTGTTCCTGAGATGGAGAAAGACATGAATGTTTTAATCTATAAACTCATACGTAGCTTGAAAGTGATGACTTTCCAGAGCTGTACAGTCTACTGACACTCGTGACTTTAAAAAGAAACCACTTTGTCAACGGATGATCTTCAAATCGGAGATTTCACTTTGAATAACCAATAATATGAAATGCTTACTGCAGATTCAAAAATCTTTTACACAGATTCAAGATTGTACTGGGAGCACAACATGAGCAAATGTAATGCCACAGGTTCATAACGACCAGCAAATGATGTGTCTATTGATGTGGGATTAATAACAGTTAACCGTAACATAACATCAAGAAAAGCACATCATATTTTAAAAACAAAAACACATTAATCTTGTCAAGAGTTGTTATATATGGTGAAAGGCATTTCAAATATTGTTTGTGTAAGGAATGAAGTACGTAAAAACCGATCACTCACTCCCAGAATTCAATAATAGGGGAACGCCCATTAGCAAGCTCTTCACACGTCAGGTTCCCGAATGTGGAGTTGCCAATGGTGCCGTTTTGGCAGTCGTCGTGGCGGAAGGTCTCTATGCAGTTTTCGGTGTTCCACGGGTTGTCGCAGGTGGACCAGGGCAGCGTGGAATTTAAAGACTTTATGAAGTAGTAGAAACCCCAGGCAAGTACCATGATGTAGTACGTGTTACAGAAAAACACAATCACCATGGAGGCATAGCCAAGTCCTAAAACAAACCGATAAAAGATAATTGAAAATCAACCCC